GAGAAAGGAGGGTAATTTTGCAAATACCGAGATTTGAGGGGTAAATTTGCAAATATGGAAGTTTTGATGGGTGTATATGCAAAAAACCCTTTATTTTTATGGTCTAACTTGCAATCATTCTGCAGGTACATCGAGCCTCTTCCAGTGGATTCAGGCGCAAAGTTTGAATTTGAGAATATGATCATAGGGCAGGCAATACCATCAGGTTTCATCCCTGCAATTGAGAAAGGTTTCAAAGAAGCAGCCAACTCGTGAGTAGCCCCCAGAAAGAAAACGGGGGGAAAACTCGCAAATAAATTTTCAATTGTATCCTATTTGTCTATTCCTTTCTTTATTGTTCAGGGGTTCGTTGATAGGGCATCCTGTTGAAAATATCCGTATAGTCTTGACAGATGGGGCATCACATGCTGTAGATTCCAGTGAGCTTGCTTTTAAGTTGGCCGCAATCTATGCTTTTAGACAGGTAAATTGATTTTGTTTTATATGCAATTCCTATCATTTAATTTGTTAGTTTAATTGTATAGATTTTTACCAACACATGAGATTGTTGAGCTTGCTGCAGTAGCACAGCTGTTTGTTACTCACTAAGTTAACAATCATTTTGTTGGACTTTCGAAAGTGTTATACTGCAGCTAAGCCTGTCATATTAGAACCTGTTATGCGGGTAGAATTGAAAGTGCCAATGGAGTTTCAGGGTAGTGTAACTGGTGACCTTAACAAGTGAGTACTTATTAACTACTCTTCCAATTGTGATCGCTCTTTATCAGGTTTGAACTGGTTTATGTAACTAATTATGTATTTGTTGAATAACAGGAGGAAAGGAATGATTGTTGGAAATGACCAGGATGGTGATGATACTGTAAATGTATTTGTTGAATAACAGGAGGAAAGGAATGATTGTTGGAAATGACCAGGATGGTGATGATACTGTAATTGCTGCACATGTACGTAAGGAAAGGAATGATTGTTGGAAATGACCAGGATGGTGATGATACTGTAATTGCTGCACATGTACGTAAATGTCGTCATCATGATCATCTTTTATTTGTTGACGAAGATTGTAATTTTAACATGGATAGCACATTACGCATTTAAATAGTATCATAAGGTTTAAGGTGCCTTTAGGTGTTATATTATGCAGGTTGAGATGGCCATAAAAGTGAAGAAGTTTGTGGTTATGCTTATCTCATTATGGTGAATTGTTCTGTTATTTATCAAGCTTTTAGTTTCAAAGTTTGATATTACGATGGTATGATTAGGTTTCAAACATTGAAGCAGTTTGGTCATGTGCGACACAGAAAAGTAGATGAATCAATTAGAAAAAAAATGATGAGATAATAGTAAGGAGCAAGGATGACTAGAGGTAGATGTAAAAGAACTTAATGGAGGACCTTAACAGAACTGAGTGGATAGGATTTATGTAGCTAACCCCAAAGTTTGCGATCAAAGTTGTATATCATTGCTTTATTGTTGGTGATTGTTGAAAAGCAGCAGAACGGGAGCTGGTTCTACTATAATTCCACAATGTTCATTAACGAATTCAGATGGATGGGAGATGAAGAACTTAAAATTTTGCATCCTCAGTCACTGGATTTACTAGGTCTTAAATTTCTGCGATGTGTTTGTGTGGACGTGAAATCTCTATTTATTTGTCTGCCTCTGGTGCCTAAACCCTCAAGTCCCAAGGTATCCATGCTCAAACGCATGGTTGGTCTTCAGATCTTGTATGTGTCTCCGGAGAACAAGGGATGAGAAATCTCTTGGCGGTAAATCCTGTGTTTATTATGAACTGGCATATCATATTGGGCTTGTGCATTTCTTTATGTAGAGTTTATTGACCCATATATTGCATATGGAAATTTTTGGTTCTTTTATTTTATTTTCCATGATTACTTCCATCACAATTCAGTACCTTTCTTCTTGGGTGTCTTTTATTTGATAAATGGGGCAGCCATCATGTCACATGTGTGCTGCTTGTACCCCTTCGTCCAGGAGTCTCAATTGCCTAATATCGTGTCTCACATGTATGCCGTAGAATTTTACTGATCAAATGATGAACCGTCTTACTGATAAACTTGTTATCTCTTCAGGTGCCTCTGAACAATATGTTTGGATATTCAACAGCCATTCGTTCAATGACACAGGTGACACTATGTACAATCATTTTGAGATTATGCATGCTTTTATCAAGTGAAATTTTGCAGTATATTCATTTTTTCCAGTAATATTGCATATCTGTTTTTTCTGTGGAAATTTCTCAAAACTGCCTTGAGGGGTGTTTTGCACAACCCTCCACCCAAACTTTATAAATTAGAGGAGCCCCCGAACTTCCAAAATTATGCAAACCCCGTAACTATTCAAAAATTGTCTTAAACAACCTTAACTTGAAAAATAAATAGTCTGAACAACCCTTATTATAAACCCCTAAGCTGAAAAACTCAGTAAAGTAGAAAGTACATTAGATGAAAACTGACTAAAACATGTCACTAGCGAAACAGGTGACTAACTTAAATTAACTACTGGCACCCATGGTATCTTTGTGGAACAAGTTCAGGAGGTTTGCTGTAACTTATAAAGTTAAAAGTTTTTTGGTGTGCGCGTTCCTGCAGAACACCTTAAGGTTAAGGGCTTTTATTTAACCTCTCTCTTTTTTAATCCTGCACAATAGGGCAAGGGTGAATTCACAATGGAATACCTCGAACACTCACCAGTTTCTCAAGATGTACAGATGCAGCTGGTAAACACTTACAAGGCCAGCAAAAGTGATACAGAATAGCAACAGTAATTACTGCGAGTCAATCTACTGCTTCTGATTTACCAAACGGAGTTCATCTGTAGTGTTTGTTGTTCAATATATGTCCATGCTTTAGCCGAAGGCACATATATTTTTGATGATGGTGACTGTATTTTTTAAGGTGCAGGAAGTTCATGTTCAATTCAATCTTACCGTTCTCATAAAGTAAAATCATTCGTGTAACATGTGTCTAATCACATTTTGCCAAAATAAAATGGAAAAGAATGGTATATTTATTGATGTATTCTGATTTGATTTCTTATGTTTCTTTAAATATTTGGTGGTTCTTGATATTACCCTATCATTAGGATGCAATTGGGAATGGATACAACTCTATTTAGCTCTGTTTCTGAACTGTTGCTAAGCTTTTTTTTTTTAATTTGGATAAATACATCATTAAGAGATAGAATATATAATGGTTAATTGTATACGGATTGCCGGTTTATGCCACTTGTTATTTCATTTGTACTCAAGGTGTAAGCAGTAGTAAAATAGGAATTCTAATTTTGTCTTTGTTTCAATCTATGCTAGAAACTAGAGGGGATTTTTTCCCCCCATGTCACAACAAAGTCTATACCAGAAATTCTACTTATTTTTTTCCCCGGAGCTTTTGGAGAGATAAAAGAACGTTATTGTTTGTCCGAATTTATCACCAAGAAATCCCTCACGTTATGAGCTCAGCTTTTAACACGTCCATTATATTCTTGTATACACAAGTAGACATATAACTAGATTGAGTCTGATTGTAGATTGAGATTATTAGGTAGAAGTTGGGAAAGGTTTTTTAAGAAGACGAGAACCCTTCCACTTTAATTCGGGCACGGTCCCCTTTAATTCGGGCACGGTCCGCGCTTCTAAGAACTCATTAATATTGAGTTTCAGATGTATTATAAATCTTGTCCAATGAACATCCCTGCTCATGAGCCGGCTAAAGGATTGTTTGGTAAGCCGCATCTGTAATTGGTATGCAAATTTTAGTCGTACGCAACAGCAATTGCTGTAGCAGCCCTCGAAATCTGAATTTTTTCGACATTCATATTTCTTGAAAAATGATTCACAATGGCAACAACAGGGAAGGTAAGCAGAAAGTAGCAATGAATTTTTTTTGTACATTTCAAGACCAACCTCTATACTAGCAAATTCTTTTTTTTTTCCCTTCGACCCCACGCCGGTTCGTGATACGTGACACAGAAGGTCGCCCTCTGATCAAAATATTGAAATGAATCCGGAAGAGTGGATCTTCCACTTCCTTTTTGTAATGGGGTTTGGGAAAGGGTACCTCTACTCCTATCCCAATGCCCGCCCCCAAAAACCTGCCATTGTCACCGCGGAGAGGAGAGCGACCCGATCATGCGAGTACCGACAGACAAACCCACCGGACAAGCACCTCCTACGGGGACCAATTCGTGCTACCCACCGGACAAGCACCGTCTACGGGGACCAATTCGTACTACAAATGCCACCAATTCGTGCTACAAATGCCATCATCGCTTTCGTTCAGTTGGCTAAGACCTATAGCACTACTTTGACGAAAGCTTCACAGTTAAGGTACTTCTGTTCATCCAACTCTGAGACAGAAAAAAAAAGAGAGCTTTTCTGTGCAAACTCAATTTAGTGCATCACAGTTGCTACTTCATTTCTCTTCCCAGTCAAATATTGCACGTCAATTAAAGAAAAATGCTATGTTGAAACACTCTTAAAATGAGATGGTACCAGAAATTGATACAGTTTTGAGGGTCTACGACATCAATTTACAGATAAGAAAAGGCTACAGCATCCATAAAAATCAAGGCAAATATCATTTTTGCATGAAAGTAAATATTAAATGGAGCAGCATAAAAAACAAATATAAAGATCCTGTTGTGACGCCACCTTTTTCTTGGGACTAAATCATGCCCATTATGCTCACCACTCCATTATAACCAATAAACTAAAACTGGATGCATAGTGATAGCAAATCAGCACCAAACTATGCGGTGAATTTAGAGGAAATCTAAAACAGATAATCAAAATTTTCAAACGTTTGCAAGTCACATTAATTTGCTGACTTACAAAAGCATTATAAATATTAGGCATATTGTCAAAAGAAAAACATCATCAGATCCATAACTAGGCAAATAAATCGACCGAAGCCTAACTAAACCCATAAATAGTGCAATCATCTCTCTATCTTACAACACAAACGCTATAATCATAACAAGCAGGGAACTGTAAGGATTGAACATTGTAATTGCAACCGCATCGGCCTTGAAAACAAATGTTTCAAAAAGAAAACATGGAGTAACGAACTATAAAAACAACTATGGAATTGTATGCCAATCATTCATTATTAACAGAATGGTAGTTTATACCATACCATCAAAGCACAGTTTTGCAATTATATATCCATCAACATGTCATCACCAAATGAGATTTTAGGCAACTGTATAATATAGAAAATTGTGGTTGTAGCTACATTGGCAGCATTAACAAATATTGCAAAAGAAAAGAGAGGCATGATTAAATAATCAGTAAGCTAAACAAATGAAGGAAAATAAGCTCTTATAGGACACGCTCTGCTGCCCTACATAAAAAAAATTAAGGGACAAGAAAATTAGGGAATACTAGTCTGATCTGATCCTAAACTAATTCAACCTGCATACTGGGTCCCCAAAACCTAATCTTACCTATTTGCTACTTTGATGTATAGGTTTAATAAGTTTGTTATACCAGAAGTGTAGCTAAACCATCACAACACACTAGGAACAGTAATGAATACCCTTTGTGAGGATCAACCTAAACTAGATTAGCGATTTGAAAGCATTCAAATTCATTACAAATCAATAAGGCAAGTGTCAAAACAAAAACTTTAGCATCTTGTAGGTAAGGGCAACACCTAAGGCATCTATCCTACAGTCATAAGGTACTCATTACTTGAGAATCTTGCTTGGTTAACAAAATTTGAGTTGCAATAGCAAATACTATAGCAAAAATTTCTATTTCAATATTTGGTTAGCAACATGATAGCCAGAAATAATAATTAGACTTCCATTTTGCAGAGAAGAAATGCATCACTTGCTGCAATCAATTTGGCTGCAAGAATCTGCTGTGACAACATGCAGTAAAATAAAAAAGTTCAAAAAAATAATGGTGTGTCATTAAATATGGACTCTAATTCACTTATTGTAAATACTTTTACTTGAAGCTAAACATATTCTTGCTTGCTGGAAGTTCAATTCCTGCAACGAAAGGTGCACAAATCCAACAAGTTATGCACCAAACTAGTCATTGAATTTGTATCTGGAAGTACATTTACTACAGCAAAAGAATAGATATCCAAATGATGGAATTGACAGTAATTTTCTACAACAAAATGCTACATTCAGCATATTCTACATGCATTGCAGCATATGAAACAGCCCCAAAGATTTGTCAAGAAATCTTACTTTGTTGATCTCTCAAAATCCCTACTCAAGTATCACTCATGGTAATGCAACTAATCAAAAAGTATCAGGTATTCAGCTTCAAGCAGGGGAGGTTCCTGACTTTTTAAAAGGAAATAAAGAAACAGACACTTATATTCAACCAGCCAGTAACACCTTACATCAAGCACTAATGCAACTGGTTTTATTCTAAATACTATCCAACTGCTTGCAGCTGCCAAAAGACCAACATTGCTTCATAATAGAAGAATGCATCACTGTGATACGTGCTGTTATACTTTTCTTGAACAAAGAATACAGTTAATAAACATAACCAAGAAGAAACCCTTAAATTTCATGGTATCAGCTCTATTTCAATTAATTTCAGGAATAGATAAAATTAGAAATGGAAGAAACTTTACGAGGTTGAACCACAAAGCACTATATATAATTTAATTCTTTGCTTTTGGTTTTTATCTGACTGCAGAACCAACATAGTTTGTTCTTATCCTTCCTATATATGCATTAATTAGCTCACCCAACCTCATACCGGTTACCATATTACCCGTCATACTAAAAAGAGCACGAGACTTGCTAAGGAAAATATAACACCCATCATATTCAATTCATTTCAAGAGCAGGCGTCACCACACAGTGAGAGGGAAATATATGCCATGCATACATATATTTCTCTCAAAAAAACATGTATGACCATTTCGAGGATTTCTAAAGAGAGAACCGAACAAGAAATATACAACAAAGATTTTCATTTGCACATCGGAACTCAAAAGGTGATGATATTCTACTTTTTCTTCCTATTTACAGATCAGTAGGGATTCTAGTACAGTAGCACTCTAACAAAAAGCCACAAGATTGATTGAACAGACAGACACAGACTAGAACGCTGCAAAGATCATTCTCCAACCAAACCACTCATATACCAAACTTTTCCATCTAATTCATGACACTGTTTTTAGGTCCAAAAGTAAGGTGATTGCTCACCTCAATCATCTCTTTTGTATGATTCAACCGTTAGCTCGTCGAGCCACAACCCAGGAAACAGCCTCTGCAAATAATATCAACAAAATTACTACTCATGTGATCATAGAGAACAAATATACAATTCAACTTTATCTTTTTTATTAAAAAAAAAGGAAAACCCTCAATTCAGAAACCAACAAATTCAAATTAAAAAAAACGAGAAGCTGTTAAAAAATGCGAGCATCAGCACAAAATTTATATTGAACTGAGAACTAAATTCCTAGCGAAGTCGACCAAACGCCAAAATAAATCATAAAAATCATTAAGAAAAGAAAATTTTGGAAAATCACGGTTCTCACTAAAACCCTAAATGAAAACGCCAACTTTTCTAAACAAAATCAAAACTTTTGTACTCACATCGAGCTTCTTCTGAACAAACCTCGCCCTTTTCTTGGGCCTCCGCTGCGGCCTCGCCCCCTTCATCCTCAAAAAGTCCTCCACTATCTCCTCCCTTGATAACGACACCAACAATCGAGCCCCCTCGGATTTATCCGCCGGCGGCGGCGGCGACGGCGGAGGAGGAGGAGGGGGAGGAGAATTCTCATCCGGCCTCGTTGCAAGAAGAGCGAATCTCCTCTTCCGAGATTCGCAGGGGTGAGGTCAACCCCGCCTCCGCACGAGCGAGGGTTGGCGGGGTCACCGTAATGGTTTGGCGCTGGGTTTTAGGGCGGTGACGGGACTCTTGCGCGGGGGAGGGATCGGCTGGTGGCCCAGCGGAGGGAGGGAAAGGAGAAGTTGTGGAGGCGGGTGACGGACTTCGGGGGGGAAGAGAGGGCTTCGTTTCCGCCGCGTGAGGTCACGCGCGCCGTCTGATGATGGG